TCCTTCTGATCTGGGGTGCTGGTGTGTTGCCTGAAACCAGCTTTTTGTTTGCTTCCGCCCCTTCGAACATGTCAATGTATTTCCATCACAAATTGGACCCCTCAAACAGCTACCCATCTGAATAATTCAAAATCCCGCATCTGATTTCTGCCATGAAACTGCTTTCCCCAAGTTTTCTGAGTTGCCTATTTTGCCAAGTCTCCAATTTTGGCTGATTCAGCTCCAGCTACTGTTGGGACCAGGCTTTATCCAAGCAATTCTCCGTTGATTGTTAATTTTTTTTCGTTTAAGCACTTCATATCGAAACATTGACACACATCCACCGACCATTGAATCATCATTCTTGTTCAGTTGGTGCTATTTCATGGCGAATCTTAGATGCCCTGCATCTTTTTTTCGGCTGGTTAGTATCCCCACTCATAGCGAGTTGTTTACCCACATCTTGATGATTGAACCATACTAAGTCCTACCTAAATCACAATTCTTCCTGATTAAACGACCATTTTTCATATACTCTCCGGTAATTTCTTACGTAGGCATGGTATAGATTCAGTTCCATGATTTGCCCACAGTTCATGGTTAAATCATGCTAAGCCACCCATTACATCCATAAAGCCGATGGTTACCCATGGCAAACAGCAAGTAGCGAACTGGAAAATCACAACTGTTCATAGCTAAATCAACCATATTAATATGATATTTTTTGGGTCATTTTCTATAGCTAAAATAATGGTCGTTTGGTCGTCGCCCCCCCAAAATCATATGGTAAAACCATGGTTTTTGGTCATTTTCTATAGCTAATATATATGAAACCCATGTCAACCATGGTTTTACCATATGACCCCCCCATGAAATCCCATGGTTTTGTAGGCGCTTCCAAATGGCCTCCGAGGTGCCATTGTGCAGTGGCCAGCGAAGTGAGGGCCACCGCATCGGAAGCGAAGAGGAGCACCTGGGCCAAGATGGGTTAAATCTGAATAGATCTGGTATATGAGATGAACATGGAATATATATGATAATACATATATATGGTATATATATATAGATATATGGTATATATATATAGATATATGGTATATATATATATATATAGATATATGGTATATATATGGTATATATATATAGATATATGGTATATATATATAGATATATGGTATATATATGGTATATATATAGATATATGGTATATATATATAGTGTATATATGGTATATATATAGATATATGGTATATATATATATATACGCGCAACGCCTGGGCTTTGCCCAGGCGTTGCAGCGTAGAGGTTTCCCATTCACAAACAAATGATGTTGCAAATTACCGTAATTCCTATGGGAAAAATAACAAAGGTACTAGGGACTATTAAACAAACAAGGTCAAAACACCCAAAATTCCTATGGGAAAAACAAAAACGGCATAACATTTGAAATTTCTATGGGAAAAACAACAAAGGTACTAGGAAATTTTAAACTCTCAAATCGTGAAACTTAACATTCAATTAGGAAGATCAACAAAGATATTAGGGAATATTAAACTCCCGCCCCCGTTAAACCTTGAATTCCTATGGGGAAAACAACAAAGGTACTAGGGACTATATAAAAAATGTCAAAACACCCGAAATTCCTATGGGAAAAACAAAAACGGTATTAGGGAATATTAAACTCTCACCCCCGTTAAACTTTACATTCAATTGGGAAGATCAACAAAGATATTAGGGAATATTAAACTCCCACCCCCGTTAAACTTCTACATTCATTGAAGATCTTCAATAAGGGTTTAATTCTCCCACCCCCGTTAAACTTCTACATTCATTGAAGATGTCCAATAAGGGTTTAATTCTCCCACCCCCGTTAAACTTCTACATTCATTGAAGATCTTCAATAAGGGTTTAATTCTCCCACCCCCGTTAAACTTCTACATTCATTGAAGATCTTCGATAAGGGTTTAATTCTTCCACCCCCGTTAAATTTCTGCATGCATTGAAGATCTCCAATAAGGGTTTAATTCTCCCACCCCCGTTAAACTGCTACATTCATTGAAGATCTTCAATAAGGGTTTAATTCTCCCACCCCCGTTAAACTTCTACATTCATTGAAGATCTTTGATAAGGGTTTAATTCTCCCACCCCCGTTAAACTTCTACATTCATTGAAGATCTTTGATAAGGGTTTAATTCTCCCACCCCCGTTAAACTGCTACATTCATTGAAGATCTTCAATAAGGGTTTAATTCTCCCACCACCGTTAAACTTCTACATTCATTGAAGATCTCCAATAAGGGTTTAATTCTCCCACCCCCGTTAAACTTCTACATTCATTGAAGATCTTCAATAAGGGTTTAATTCTCCCACCCCCGTTAAACTGCTACATTCATTGAAGATCGTCAATAAGGGTTTGATGATGTTGATGATGATGATGATTATGTTGATGATCATGATGTTGATGTTAAAGATGATGATGATGATGATGATGATGATGATGATGATGCGTCGCCCGTCGTCATTGCAAGTCCGGGCAAAACCCAGGCATTTGCCGTATATATATATATGGTATATATGTATATATGGTATTTATATAGATATATGTGATATATATAGATATATGGTATATATATATATGGTAAATATATAGATATATGGTATATATAGAGCATATATATGGTATTTATATATATAGATATATGGTACATATATATAGATATATGGTATATATATGGTGTATATATATATATAGATATATGGTATATATAGATATATGGTATATATATATAGATATGGTCTATATATAGATACATGGTACATATATATATAGATATATGGTATATAAATATAAATATATATATAATTGGTATATATATATATAGAGATATATGGTGTATATATATATAGATATATGGTATATATATAGATATATGGTATATATATAGATATGGTCTATATATAGATACATGGTATATATATATATAGATATATGGTATATATATAGATATATGGTATATATAGATATATGGTATATATATAGATATATGGTATATATATATAGATATATGGTATATATAGATATATGGTATATATATATATAGATATATGGTATATATATATAGATATATGGTATATATATAGATATATGGTATCTATATATATTTATGGGATAGATAAATCTATGATCAATGTTTCTGATTTCAACACGTGCGGTTTGATTGGTGTATGGTTGATGGGTGTCAGAAATGGCTGAATTCGAAGGAATTAAAACATTTTTGGTGGGTCCGGAAACTTGATTGATGGGTGTAACATAGACCATTTTGCAAAGCGATGGGCATATCAACACTCATATGTACTAAATGGGCTTAAAGAACCTGATTATAAAACCGTTCAAGAAGTGGATAATTTTCCAGCAAGCACAATTGCGTCAAAGTTGGGACGTCGCCATGCAAAAAAAACAGTATATGAACAAAAAATGATGATGAAGGCGTCACATGTCAATTCGGATTGAGACACAAAAAGAGATCATCAATTCAGGATCCCACAAAAACCAGGGGGTTTCACGAGCCGAAAAAGGGTCAAGAGGTAGAGCACAGCCTATTGGCTTTTATCATATTCCACATGAAATCTGATTTTCTTGGGGTATACTGCATTTTGGGGCAAAAGTAAGCATCATATAATATCATATAATATCAGATAATATCATATGATATCATTATATCATATTGGCTGTGTCTCATAAAAGATCTCGCCGAATACAACCACATTTCTCCGGGCAAGCCGATATTTTACAAACTTGAAGACATCATTTGTACCTGATATTATGCATTCAACCTTGTCAATGTTGCAGGTTTTATCAATTTTTGGTTCACTTCAGTTTTTTCAAGACACCTGGCCAAACTCTTATGTCGAGGCACGGCAAACGGCCAGTGACTACTCTTGGCGCAGGCATCGAGGGTTGCAGCACGGCCAGTAGTGGGGCCTGGATTCAGATTTGGCAAGGAGGGGCCCTGCGAAGTCTATGACTTGAGGGTCATGGCTAGCAGGAGCAAAACATATCGCAACATATTTGATGGCAATCGCTGGTCATGTTTGATGGCAATGAGAATTTGGATATCTACAACGGTTGTGGTTATGGTTTCTGCGTTTCTTTGGGGGCATATCAATCCACCAACCCATTAGTTTCATCATGTTTCATCATGTTTCATCATGTTTCATCATGTTTCATCATGTTTCATCCGCTGAAGATATCGGCCAACAACCAATCTATCCATCCATCAATGGAACATTTAACCAAATATCATCAAATATCCATGTAATATCATATCATAAATCCATAATATCAATGAATTCAATAGATTCAATGGATTGATGACCTGGGAACATCGACAACGGCGGGTCTACCACAAGAAATTCCGAGCATCGGGCTGGTCCAGACTTCACGCGCCCCACTGAACTACTCGTTCTTGATACCAAACCATGCATCTTTTGTCTTTTTATCTTGAGCCGCATCTTCTTACTAGTTATAACTATACTCATCCCATTAAGTGGTTTCCTAAAATAGGGATGGTACCCCAGGTACCCCACATCATCCAAGTCATTACATAGACCATGACTTAGTATTGAAACAACCGACTGGGTGACTTTGGGGTATCCCGATGCAAAGGAAAGCTCCATATCCACCACAAACTCACCTGTCAGGTCGGCCCGAAGCAAATCCAAAGCCATCTGCCATGCCAAGCCTGGCGCCATTTGGGATGGATGAAAAATGCGGTCTTATGGATGGACCTGTTAAAACAACAATAGGGTGGGGCATTCTTTAAAAATCAACCGGTTAGGGTCAGGCTTCATTTGGGTGATAAAACATGCATGATTTAAGAAAAACTGGGGGTTTTAAGGTCAAACGTGTTGGATTCAAGGGCACATCATTCGGGTCTTGAGGTCCCACCCAAACAGGAAATTCGAATGATGCATGGGAAGATCGATGCGTGAAACTTCAAGTATGTGAGTACCTATCTATCT